AAATCCTACGTCTAGTGTTATTTTATTGTCGTGTTTACAAAAGATATTTGCTCTCAAGAAAGACAACTGCTCTTTAGCTATTGAGGAAATGAAAGTTTGGATCCTTGATTTAGGGTGGGAGAACCTTATTTGTACTGTTGGATAGACGGTCTTACTCGTGAAGTAACCCTCTCATCGCATAACACGTAGTTTGATAAACTTTCTTTATTAGAGACTTACTAGTGAAATAGTCATCTTACAAAATGCTACATGACCCTAAAACCTTAATGTTGAAATAACCTTTAACATTCTTACAAAGTTAAGTAACTCTTTCTATGTGCCAGTGAGTGTGACATGCGACTTGGACAGATGCATAGTCACATGACACTTTTTGAGAGTACATGCTCCCATTTACTTAATCACAGGACATATGTCGAAAATTCATGTCTTTTGATTTTACCATATAACATATGTTTACCAACTTTAAAGGATCTAATGATGATTGAATGAAAGGAGTTATATTTCTCTTGATATTTGCATAATATACATACGAAATTAAGGTTAATACTTAATTCTTAGCGTTTAAAAAATTAAATCGTAAAAAAGTAAATTAAACTTGGTATAATACTATATATATATCATTTTTATATAATATTATGTGACAAGATATGATTGAGTGAAAATTTAATTTCAACTTTAAATTATAATATTTTTTATATATTATATTTTGTCATATAATGTTATACAAAAAAATATTATATGAAAATAAGATATATGTGTATTATTTCATATTTATTATTAAGAACGGGTATAAAACAATTCATCTACTGTTGCCCTTAGGTATGTGACGTACCTTTCTCGTGAATCGAGCTCAGCTCCTTCTGGATTCTGATGCCCGAATACTGAATCTTACAGTACCATAAGGCAGACCCGTGACCTGCCAAACTTGGCTTCAAAAAAGAGCAAACATAATTTTGGGGTGCATTATTGTATTGCTCAGTCTTATTTCTTCCAGTATTACTTTTTGACTATCCATCTCCATCACGTCAATCCTTTTCACTTTAATGGGGACAACACACATAACATTCCAGTTTTAAGACAAAATGTTAGTCGTACTACCACTTTTTACATGCCCAGCTTCACATTGCATTGCATGATTTCAACTTCCACCCTCTAAACCGACACAGTAAATTAAACACACACAACTACTCCAACATCCACAGTTTTGCTTAGTTAAAGTGAGGTGGGTTGAGTTAATTCTCCAAATAAGTGGGGTGTTATTTGGAGATATTTTCAATTTTTTTTTTTTTCTTTAGAATTAAAACGTTGGCCCACTTCACTTGCATCATTATTGTGAAAATAGAGGGACATCAATCATTGCTCACGCGCGGGCAGAGCTTAGAAAACGTGGCCGCACGATACTCAATGAATTCTAAGGCATATCAATACATATGATGACGTTGTGGGCTCAACTTACAAGGTCACAATCTTTGACCAGTTTTACTCTTACGTTCCTCTTCTCTTCCTCTATTTTTATTGGCCTTCAATACGACGTCGTATTTCCTTCTTTCAAATTTATATTAAAATAAAATAACAAGAAGTAGAGCTCAAATGAATAGAGATTGAAATGTGACGTTATGGTCAAAGAGTTTTGCATCTTCTTCCTTCTAAAGAAATTTCAACATCAATAAAACTAAAAGTCAGAGAAGCAAATAATAATACACGTGTAACATGTGTCATGTGCAAGCAAGCCCAGACAAACAGAACTACGAGATTTTATGATGGTCACATGAGCAATAATGTAAGCTTGCCAAGACACAATCAGCCATTGGCTTTATTATAATACAAATGCAATTATTCACTTCAATTTTCAATCATCAAAATGTCAAAGAAAACACACACACACAAGATAAAAGAAGCATCTAAAAGTCTCAAACTATCATCATCAATCATGTTCATCAGTTCATGCATACTACTTATACCAGTAGGATTCTTAAGATCATGCTGCACTTCAGCTGCGAGATTTCATTGTATCAAGTCAACACAAAACAATAAGGTAAAAACATGTTAAAAATATGCAAGCCACCATTATACCTAACTCACTCTCATGTTATTAATGCAAATAATATGATGCAATGAAAAAAAACCTAAACTTTTCAAGAGCAAAAGTTAAGAAGCAAAATGGGTTCCACAAATGCATGGAGCCGGTGTGCAGTACATGATCGAGGCAACACAGGCCTACAAGAGTTAATATGTATAATGAAAAGTCAAAAGAAGAGTGAGGTTTACAGCCAACTTGAAAGAACTTTGAATCTGGGGCCTATCTCTAAGTAAGGTTTGAGTGCTTAAGGAAGATTATAAAATTCTAAAGCCTTTCTTTTCGGTTTTTCTTAAACGTGTATAAGCAAAGGAAAAGAGAACCACCTAAAGTGAAACTATGAGCACAAACCGTTATAATTAATGAAACCTACTAGCCTTTTTTGTTAAGGGGGTGGGGAAAACCAACTAGGACTCCACCTTTTTCTTTCGGCCATATCGAATCAAAACCTGCGGTCCCCTGATTATATTCATACTCATGGATTGACGGTTGAGATTCATGAATCATATCATCAGAAATTGCTTGGTGTGAAGGCTGCACTAGCATTAGTTGGAATTTCTGCTTAAACAATATCTACTTATACAACTAAAGGTTTCCATTATGGAATTAAGCTAATATAATCAAAAGCATACCAGTAATTATATTAATTTAAGCTTAAGTGGAAGAGCCTTTCATTGGCCGCGAATTTTGGCCTTTGGTAGAGGTGTCAAGTGAGTATTGCTTCTGAAAATGAGAGATTATGACAACTATACCTTCAAAAGAGAAGTAGAAATATTAGATTAATATGGTGAATTGATGTTAAAAGAGTGGTTATCAAGTTTCTGGATAAATCATCTATCACTATCTAAATCCTGATAAGAGATAAAAGAAAAAAATAGACAGCCCACATAAGGCTCAGATAAGATCCACCAAAGCTAGAACTACAAGCTTTTTAAAACGAGAGGTTTGATAGCAAACAATAGCAACCAGAGTCAGAATTCATAACTTCGTGGAAGAAACGCTAAAGCTAAGCTCAAAAAGAGAACTCAACTCATTCTTATTTAATATCAATTTACTTTGTCTTTTGCCACAAGCTAAGATAAAAAGACCTAAAAAGCTATAACAAAATTCGTTTTTGAAAGTGATACTAATATCTGTGACATCTGAATATGACTTCTTCAATTACAGCCTTTACTTTCCAACGCCATTCCACCATTATACTGAGTGTACTCAAATGATGTTGATGATGATAATAAGAATAATAATTAAAATGCATCACTTTTGTTCTCTAGTGCCAAAACTGCACTTCATGCAGACAACATGTTTCATAAAGGTAACTTTTTAATGCCACTACTTCACCTTTTCCACACATACAAGTGCCATGCGCCATTACTATGCTTCAATGAACATCTTAAGAATCCTATAATAATGACCCAGTACATATACGGTTATTATATGGTGGTCATATCATAATTTCTACAGTATGTAGCATGCAGATGCAATCCTCTTTTATTGTAACTATATTTAGCAGTACCCAACTGCCATTATTTCATAAAGATGGCTTCAAAACATTGCTTGGGAGTAAAGAATTGAATACGTACATGTTATGATAGCAATATGCAGCAAAAGACTTGAATAAAGCAAACAGGAATTATACTTAATTTATCATGCTATCTACCATTATTTGTAATGAACCCAAGTGTTGAAATAAATTATAAATTCACTGAATCTGATACAGTGCTATGCAACAATAATCCTATAGAAACTTGTTTCTTACTAATCCAGGAGCCAGCTTATAAATAGCACTTGTAATTCTTGGAAGACGTGTTGGAGGATCATTGATTCCTCAACTAAAAAGAGCCACAGTGTCAATTCTAAGCCACACATAGACTGTCTACCATCAGTAATTTGATTATCTTACTATGCTTCTTTTACACGTGATAACTTGTGTGCCTTGAGCCATGTCTGAGGATGATCCCTTTAGGTGTTTGTGATATGAAAGTAAACAAGAAACATAAGCCTTTTAGAGGTTTTTAATACCCTATCCAAATTCTTTCTTAACTCATATGAAGGAACAAGCAAAAATATAAGATTCAATCCAAACTCAGTCATGAATCAAAAGTTATAAATGCGAGCAATGATGCAAGCTAATATCATACAAGTAATATTGCTTAACAATATAAGCAAAAGATCTCAGCACCAATGCTGTCATCTAACCAATATTCCAAACAGCAAAACCATAGATGTAAAAGACAACTATAAAATTCACAACCTCTAAATGTAAAAAATAGTGACTTAAAAATTGAAGTATATTGGATGTAATTGGACAATCAAAGGTCAAACACTTTCAATTAAGGTAAAATTGACCATTAAGCACTAAAATCTAGGTCCAAATCTTCTTTTAAAAGCAGAAAAAAAGATTCTCCATACATTAAGATGGTTTGGAAATTATTTTTCGAAAATAGATTTTTTCTTTCACTTGCAGTATCAAGTATGTCTTATGCACAAATAATTAATGCATTATTAAAAAGAATATTACCCCTAAATGATAATGACGCATCTGACTTGAACTTTTTGTGGTTATTGAAATAATGAGCTTTCTAGAGTTCACAATGTATTGATTTTAAACTTCCCTAAGTAACAAGCTAAAGCCATGAAGGTGAGAAACGCATAATTGACTTCCGGCCCAGAAAAAAAGAGAACACTGAAGGGAATATGTAGAAAGCAGATGCTTCATATTTCATTTGAAAAATCTTACCTATTATGTGGCTGATAAGATCAGCAAATTACTGTATCATTTTTAATCATCATAAAGTTTTTAAGATTTTATTCTAATCTGTTAGTTGGGTACACCTCCTTCACCTCAAATCTGAAGAAATAAAGTTCAATCTGCAGAATATTGGATACATAAATTTCTTGAACCTGAATGAAATCTACAAGCCAATGAAAGGAAAAACTAACAGGTAGTGCCTCTTAAGTTGGCTCAAATATATAGCGTATACATGTCAGAAACGGGAGTTTTTGCAAATTCTCATGCCTTTAGTGTATGGTTAAGGAGGAGTAGGAAGGAACTGTACCATCCATCTCAGAGAGGCGGGTTTAGGGCCCGTTGACCAAGATTAGCGCTCCATGCTCTATAATTGATTAGTAGAGGCCACATGAGTTAAAATGAGTAATGAGCCCTTTTGTTAGCCCAATCATATAGCTGCAAGTACTTTACTATAACAGGTGGTTCACATGGACAGCGGTAATAACAATCTCCTATCCCTCTTCTTGGCAACTGCCTGCCTACAACTTCTTAAGCGTAGTGGAAGGAAAATACTAAGGCACAAAATGAAGAATGAAATCCAGAAGTGCCTGAAGTAAAAAGCCACATAGGATGATATGACAAGCATGCTAAACAATAAGGCCCAAAAGACAGCCACAGCAACATCACCCCTGCATGAAGTAAACACAAAATTTTCACATTTAATGACATTACAATCATATAAATATCCTTAGCATACTTAAGAAACTATAATAAGGCAGTTATAGATCTAAATATATATACAAATAATCATAAATGGTCCAGTGAGGTATTGAAACTCAACAGGTTATAGGAATATTTGAGTGAAAAAATAAATCAAATGGAAAGGGGGACTGGACAAGTAAACCTAAGACTATCCTAATCAGAATTAAATTAGCAAAAGCTGCGGCACCATAGAATGGCAGCTGGAAATTGACCATTTCGAGCTTACTTTTTGTCATGTAAGGAAAAAATTGCAGCTTTAAATCTTTTATGAAAAAGTCTAGAACATACAAATCCACCAAAACTAAAATAACTGCCCCTATCAAGTTTATACATATTCCTCGTTGCTGTACCTCCAATTGTACTTAATGGATTCCATAGTTATATCTTTAGCATGGCAATTATTGTTGGTTGTAAACTGGTCCACCTCTTATTAAAAGGGTAATTAAAGAGACTCAGGTATCTAGTAAATAGGAACTCCTATATGAAATTAACAAACAATTACCAACCCTTCTTTACTGGTCTTAGCGTATGGAATTCTTTCCTAAGTTCCCAATACATATTCAACATGAAGATTATGTTAAAAAATGAAAAGACACAGGTGTGCATGTATTAGTTAGTGTTTAAATATTATAATTTGGCATACAAAATTAAGTTTTTCGATTGATGGCTATTCAACCTAATATCAAAGCAGTTTGAACACTGGGTCCTGTTTTCAAATCCTCAAACCTTCCAGCCTATTAACCAAATACCAATTCAGAGTAAGGCAGGTCTGTGTTTGGATCCACATGCGAAGCCTGTTGATAAATCCAACCACACATGTAATGGACTATCTGAACCTTAAAAAATCTACGAGTTTATACCCAGATGAGGCAAAAGTCAGCTCCACTCCTTGGGAACATGCAGTCTATCAATAAGCCAGAATATATGAGAATAAAGGGTAAGGACATAACTTAACTCCGCCAGAAGATTAACCAGCCAACAATTAAATCCCATATTAATCAACCAAAGTAATGAATAGAGATACGTAACGTCTTAGATTTTACAAGGTAGAAAAATATGTTCAAATGCAACTCAACAAAACTGTGCCTGCTGCTGCTAAAAAAAAAGACTTCATTTAAATCACTCAAAGCAAATCATGTGGCACATTGCAAAATCAACAAAAGAAAGGCTCAAATCAAGTTATCTGCTAACCATCTCCAGCTATTTGAACTCCGTATCGAGGACATTTCATGCAGTGAACATTAATGCAAAATATTTTCTAACTACATTGATTAAGAAATTCAAATTGGTAAAGAAAACAAAAACTACCAAGTGCAATACTTGCACTGACACAGGCATAGATATTAGAGCAATTTAAAACCAAAATAAAGAATTTAATAGATCATCAAGGACTCTCAAGTAAGGCATCTAACTCAGGTTCACTGTAAGGTTGAGCTACAAGACAATGCTTTTGGTTTTTTAAATGGCTGCCATAGGCATCCTCAATATGGAAGCAGGGAACCAAAATCAATTCTTTCCCATATTTGAAGAAAAATCTCTCTTTATCACAAAATTATGCTCAAGCCACATAAACTCAAGTCCTAATTCATCTAAAAATTTTCCTGTTGCCCCCACAAGCTTATATGCCCACTCACAATGTTTGATTTTAAAATAAAAATAATTCTGAGCATAAAGTGGCCTTAATTCCCTCAAAATTTCTGTGATTGCAACAGTAAATTACGAACGATACAGCCAATTTTGGCTATTAAGGCTTTCACAATATTCATCCTTCTGTATCTACGAAGAAGCTAAATTGACAGCTTATGCTTTTAAAGGGAAAAATAACCAGCTTTCACAAATCAACCCCATTAATGTGCTTGACTTTATTTTTCAACGAAAGACTGATAATTATACAAAATAAAGAAGGAAATAAAATTCAAATACCTAAATGTTTAACTAAAAAATCAACCTAAAATTATAATTAATACAAAATTAGAAAAGGAGAGAGTTACCAGGATGAAAGAAGTGGTTTAGGAGAGAAGAAATTGAGAGCTGGACACTTGTGTTGAGATCGGATCTGGTAGTCTCGGAGTTGCTCAACGAGTTTAGAACGAGTTATCATTTCTTCGCCCACCTTCAAAATTTAAACACTTGTTCCTAAAAAATGTATGAAATACTTTGATTTGATAAAAAAAAATAGACAGGAGATGAGATTTTGATTGTTGAATGGGTTAAATAGTACAGTGAGATTAGAGTTTATAAGTCTGTTCTACTGGATTTTCTGCTGAATTTCCAAGTAACTGCCTTCTCATTTTAAGATTCCAATAATGTAAACGAATAAACATGACTGAAAAAATTAAACTCGGGTAAAACCTGAATTGCCATTTAGTAATAATATATTATATTATTTAAAAGTTTGAAAAATAAGTTGGATTACCATTTTATATTATAACCATTTAAATAATTTATTTATTTTCATTTCAATGCACCCTTTTAGTTTGTGGAAGTTATTTGTAGACATAAATATCTCTATGATAATTTATTTAAAATAAATTCATATAGATATCATATTTAAAAAAAATAATAATAATATATGGTCATTGAATTTATAAACTAAATATTATCACAATTATGGATGGTGAAATTCAATTTAGTACAGTACATAACACACCATATGAGACATCACTATTAAATGGGTTTTTGTAGGGGATTTGGGATACAGGGACTTGAACCCTCATGATTTCTAAACTCGACAGATTTTTCTCTTATCATAATTTTATTGTTGCGAGTACTGACATTAACATGTAGAATGAAACTTTATCTTTATTCTCATCTGATTAATTAATTCTTAAAAAAAAAAAAAAAAAAAAGAGATTCAGTTCATAATTTTATAAAAAAGAGATTTATATATTCATATTGGTCTTATGCTTTACAATATAAATCTAGTAATTTATATCATAATTTACTTTATTATAAATTTTGTCACATAACATATTTTTAATAATCTAATAATAACATAACATCCAAATTTATATATATGATTTTGCATAACAAATTCCATTCTAAACTCTTTCATCTCTATAATAATATTTCATTCTTTTCTAATTTTCATCCAACTGGAATTAAAAAAAGAGAGAGTGAAATAGGTTGGTTACGTTACCGAGAGATTGAAAAGTAGCTATTCATCTCGATCAACGAAGAGTTGGTTACTTGCAGGCAGGCAAGAGCGCCAGAGAGGATGGGAACCAGAGATCTAGAACGACTCATTCCAATGACAGGAGTTGTTGATAATGGAGACTCTGTTTCGTCTGCCACCGCCCTTTCACCCATCGCTTCTTTATCTCACCAAGCTTCTACGGGCAGAGAGGTATTTTTCTCTCTCTCTTAAACAACATCTCCAAGTTACGTGCCTTCTTCATTTGAATATGGGCAAAGCTGATTTAGATTTTTTTTTTTTAAATTTTTAAAATTTTTAATCACTCAATACTTTGCTAGTGATATCTTTAACTGTCCATTTATGCTTATTTCAACTATTATCAAAATTGAGAAGAGATGAGGTGTTTTAGCCTCTTGGTAGTCATAAGGTGCATTAATAAATGTTCGGTAAATGCTCTTGCCCTCTGGCATGTCATGAAAAAAAACGTTCTTATATAAGATAATAAGGAAATGAAGGCTGAAGGAGGTGATCAATGGGTAATGTTTTAGTTAAATTTTTGTTGCTTGTCCTGTTGTCGAAGCATGTGACTTTTAGAAAAATAATAGTTTAATATGATTGAGTGGCGGTGAAATTGTTTTTGGTTTACTTTTTAGGAGCTTTACTTGTCTTTCTAATTTTATCAGTTTGAATATTTAAGAAGGGTTTTATCTTTATACTGTATATCTGTGCAGGCATTCTCAAAAGTCATTCGTAGCTGGGCCTCAAAAAAGTTCATGACTGGATGGTTAGTCTTTGGTGCTTACTAGTTAATGCTTTCTTCTTTTCATTCTGTTTTGCGCATTTTTTTTTAAGTTATAATTGAATTAGATTTATTGAAAAAGCAAAATAAAAGGAATATATCTAACCAAGAGACTAGAGCCTTTTATCCCTTAAATAAAATTATCATATCAATAGAAAATAAAAGAGTATATATACTTGCTGCAATTATACAACTAGAAGATAAAAATATAGATACATGAAACAAATCAGAAAATAGATGAAGGGTGAAAAGAATGTTGAGTATAAAAAACGATTGGTGAACTGATGAAGGATGAAGGGATGTAGAAAACAAAAAGAAAAATCTAAGGTAGAGTACAAAAGTAATAGATGAAGGTTGAAGGGATGTAGAAAACAAAAAGAAAAATATAATGTAGAGTACAAAAGTAATAGGTGAAGGATGAAGGGATGTAAAATACAATAAAGAGAATATTAATGTAGAGTTGAAAAAAATAAGATTATGGGATGTAGAATACAATAAAGAGAATATAATGTAGAGTTTAAAAAACATTAGATGAAGGGATGTAGAATACAAAAAAGAAAAATATTACGTAGAGTATAAAAAGCAATAGATGAAGGATGGAGGGGAAGAAGGGATATAGCATGCAAAAAAGAAAAATGTAGAGTACCAAAAACAATAGATGAAGGGATGTAAAGTACAAAAAAGAAAAATATAACAATAGATGAAGGGATGTAGAATATAAAAAGAAAAATGTTAAATATAATTCCGTTGCCGGGAATCGAACCCGGGTCTTTCGGGTGAGAGCCGAATATCCTAACCGACTAGACTACAACGGATTTGATGTTTTCCCAGTGTTTTTAAATTACTAAATCCAAAATCCATGTTCTGCTAGTGCTTTAAATTCTAAAGTTAGTTGTGCTGGCTGTAATCAATATTAAACTCAAAATTACTCTATCGAAAATGTCATGTGATTTTAATACAAGATAAATGTGCTTGCCTTCAGACCTTCCACTTGAGAAGTCATTTTCCTTGAATTACTAGGTAGTTAGGATCTGTAAATTTGCCCTCCAATATATGTTTTCAATTTTAGCAACTGATATATGTTTAACTGTTTCTAATGATTTCATGGCTGCCTAGACAATTTTTGTTAACTTCATGACAGAAGTGAGCTATAATTATGGATGGACATGAAACTGCTTAATAAACTATATAACAGCATCAAAGATAGCAATAGCATCAAAGTTCACCTTGTGAGGACTTGTGAAACCTGAGAATTATTCAGGCTGTAGAAAACACATATATAAGGGTTTCTGTACCTTGTTGCTGGTAATAAAATGTTTATTGAGAATTGAAACTTGAAATTCACCTCTTTGGACTTAATTCCACAGTTCTCTTGCTGCTGCCTTCAGAAAAAGTAGCAGTGGTAAACTTTATGTATAATTAAAAATAATCTTGATTCATCATTCTTCACCTCATATATCTTCCATTTTCCTAACAACATGTTGTGAACTATATACCTGACAACATTTTATTCTGTTTGGTGGGTGACAAGTGCTTGAAATTGTTTTGCAGTGTCATTTTGTTTCCTATAGCTATCACATTCTACACCACTTGGTGGTTTATTCATTTTGTGGATGGAGTCTTCTCTCCAATTTATACTCATCTTGGCATCAATGTCTTTGGTTGGTATATTATCTTTTCTGCTTCTGTGATTTTAGTTTCTGAATTTTATTTTTCCTGCTAAACTACACTTTTTAGAATTAGATATGTGAGAAGGGATTTCTAGCTGTACTTCTTATACTAATTAATTTGCAGGTGCTGGATTCATGACATCTATCACTTTTATCTTCGTGGTTGGTGTATTCATGTCCTCATGGTTGGGAGCTTCTGTTCTTAATTTGGGAGAATGGTTTATCAAGAAAATGCCCCTGGTTAGCTATATTTACACTGCTTCAAAACAAATAAGTGCAGCAATATCACCAGGTGAGTATAATGAAATTACTTTTTAGTTTCAGCATCTATGAGCCAGCAGTGTTAAGTCCACTATCTGTTCCAGATCAGAACTCACAAGCTTTCAAGGAAGTTGCTATTGTAAGGCATCCACGAATCGGGGAATATGCAATTGGCTTCATCACATCTACTCTTATTCTCCGGGGAAGTTCGGGTGCGGAGGAGCTCTGCTGTGTTTTTGTGCCCTCCAACCACCTTTATATTGGAGATATCGTTCTCATCAGCTCAAATGACATTCTTAGGCCTAATCTCTCAGTTCGAGAAGCAGTTGGTAAGAATTCGATTTCCAGACCAATATACGAAAATAATTTCTGTATTAAGTTTCCTAATATAACAATAATCTTGTTTTTGATTTAACATTTTGGAACAGAAATCGTCATCTCTGGTGGCATGTCAATACCACCGGTAATAACTACCCTGGACGCACAAACTGTTCGTCCAGCAGGATTTGGAAAATATGCTGTGCCACATGTTTAATGGTGGTTTTTGTATTTGATGCGAGTGATCTGCATCTCATAAAAAGTGCTTAAAGAAGTTCTACTTGAACCCAAATGAGCAAAAGGATGCGGTAAAAAGGGGGGAAAATAAAAAAAAAAAAAATCAAGTTTTGGCTGAGAAGTTGATGCTTCCAAATGTGAAACCTTGGGTAGTGAGTTGAGACTGAGGCCTAGAGTTGAGTAATGTCTGTGAATATCTTTTCCTCCAGTGATTGATAAAATTAGCATATATTGTGGCAATATTAGTTAGTTAAAAGCCAAAGTGTATGGTGAAATCCAATTGGAGATTTTCTTTATTTCTGCTGATACTTATTACCGATCCATTAAGTTTAGTTCTAAATTCTAATGACCTAAATCACAATTTAATTTATCCCTATGATATCATTATTTAACAATTTACTGTTTTAGTATGTAAAATAATAATTTGAAAAAAACTATTACAAAGAGAATTTGTATAAATTGATGTGGTACGTCATGTCAGTCTGTCATGTGGTACTCCTTCCGTTTCAATATAAATGACGTATTAAGTTCCTACACAACTTTTAATGGAACAATTTTATCTCTCTCTAATTTGACATTTTCCTCTAATTTTGCAGGTGGGAAAAACTTCCGCTGCATACATAAGTGAATTATTTAAATAATTTAATATAAGAGAGAGAGAGAGGAGATTGTGGGCATTGGAAAAAAGTGGAGAATGGAGAAGTGGGTCATAAACAAGACAACGTCATTTAATTTGAAAAAAATTTACACCCTCAAAACGATATTTATAAAAAAACGGAGAGAGTATAAGACTTATATTATTTAATACTAGAGCAAAGTGGAGAATGGAGAAGTGGGTCATAGACAAGACAACGTCATTTAATTTGAAAAAAATTTACACCCTCAAAACGATATTTATAAAAAAACGGAGGGAGTATAAGACTTATATTATTTAATACTAGAGCAAACGACGTAATCCCACCCGAAGTTTAGGGAAATCTCAAGTTGATACTCTTGGTTCAATTTATCCCATTTTGCCACCCTTAATCTAACACTGTTAATAACTGATGGATCTGACATAGTGACAGCGAGTGACAATGACTAAAATACCCTTGAACCTTTGACTTTAGATTATTTAGCAAATAAAAAACTAAATAGACTGTAAAAAACAAAAAATGCCCCTATCTTTAGTTTATTTTCCAAATATAGTGAAATTACCCTAATGCCCCTAAACCGTTTGAAAGTTCAGCAACAATTGTTTGAATGTTGAGGGTTTAGCTGTATAATGGCAAAGTAATATTTCTTAAAAATTGGCATACATCCTAAAAAGTTTCAAGTTTGAACATAAACACATCCTGCACAAAACCAACATCAAAGATCATACTACAACCATACATACTGAGTTAAACACTTTTGCATTGAACATATATATGAAAAATACATAATTGCCTCGAAATGTGATGATCGATAGCCCAAAAACAGAAAATTAAAGCTGCATATTACATCAAAAAACCCATTGCAGCAGTCCTAAATCAATTACAACATTCACAATAGACAACCTAAATCAGTTACTATCTGTACAATATTATCACACCATATTTGCACACCAAGACTAACAAACAAAGTCCTATGTACAATTTCCCCAAATTTCACCAAAATACAACAGCATGCTTCAACTCCACACATCCAAAAAAACCAACATCATGCTTCTACAGTTTTATCACACCAAAAAACAACAGCATGCTTCAACTCCACACTCCTTAAGTACCTAAAAAAAATCATAAAATCAATTTAAGGGGCTGCCCTTGACAGTTTGAAGCAATGTAACATGTTAAAATTTGGAGGACTGATGTTACACTAACTTGCTACCCTTGATAGTTGCTTCAATGTTGACATGTCTGGCTTGTTGGGGTTGATGAAGCTTCTCCTCTCTAAACAAAGCATAGAAAATAAATGTCAATGCAAGCAAATTCTATTACCAAAATAATACTAATTATGTTAAATAAAAGCTTTAAAATACCCTTTGATTCTTGTTGTTTGAATGATTTTGTGGGCAGCGTCTCTTGTTATGTCCCAAAGTTTGACAGATCCCACACCTAAGTGTTGCACATTTGGTCATCTTTGGTTCTTCATCAGCATCATTTTTTCTGGCATTTTTGGGTCTCCCAACCTTGCTATATTTGATAGGTGGATTCAGCTGCCTACCCCCAAGCAAGTTAGGCCAACTAAGTGGGTCAGGCACGGGGTGAATGTGATCAGTATATGTTTTTACGTATGAAGTGATCCTCAATGAAGAGTTCACATAATCCTTCATATTTCAAATGTTCCTAAAAAGCAAACAGTGGACTGCATGCACACAAGGGACTCCAGAAAGTTGCCACATTCCACAGTCACAAGTTTGAGATTGAAGGTTTAAGATGTAACGTCTACTGGGAAGGCAGTTGTTATCCACCACTTCAAATTCATCACTCCTAGGCCAGATAGCTTCAACATTCCTAGCAGGCTAAATTAGACCATTGATTTTTCTATGTACAGCAGGGGGAACAGTTGTGACCCAATCATTCCTAGCATTTGGCCTAGCTTGCATCTGTACCATAACCTTCCTCCTATAATGCTCTAACAAGCTTAGTATGGGTAACTCTCTATTCTCTCCCAACCAGCTATTAAAGACTTCACACATGTTATTTGTAACGTGATCAGATTTGAAATCAAGGTCGAATGCATGCCTTGACTAGGATCTCACATCATTTTCAATCATCCACCTATGAGCTTCTCTACCTACAACTTCAACCTTTTCCATGGCTTGTTGAAAATCAATGATATTGATAGCCCTACTAACAGCCCAAAACAAGTTCCTTAACCTCAACCTATGGAATTTTTTCCTAAAGTTAGTATAAACATGCCTAGCACAATGTCTAACACTAGCATTTGGCCAACAGGTCTATATAGCATCCACCAAACCCTTTTGCCTATCACTCATGATAGTGATAGGGTCAATGTCCCATATAAACTCCTTCAATAAGGTCATAAAGTATCTCCATGATTCATTGTTTTCTATCTCACAAATGGTAATTGCTATTGGGAAAATGTCACTGTTAGCATCCATAGAAACTGCTGACAATAGTACATCCTAAGAAACACCTCTGAAAGTTTGGAATCCCTTCTAGACTAACAGATTTCACATTATACATGGAACCTGGGTTGGTATGTTTGACAATATGATCATATTTCAACAAACCAGTAAAGGACTCTGCATAGAGCTTGTTTGACCTCCCCTTTGCTAGCTTATTAGCTCTATAAAGTTTGGATCTAGACAACTGTAAATAGTGTTTCCTACCCAACGCGTCTACCAATGGCTTAATTGATGAACCATTTTGGATTTGATGAAGTCTCCCATTTTTTCAGCCACCCAAGCACTTGTTGTCTCTTTATTATTATAAACCCTTGTGCATATATGTGTGTGCCTATACTTCCTAATCTAAAAAGACACATCATCAGACATCAAAGCAGCATATAGATGAAATGGACAGTTTGCTTGCTTACATTTGGCCTTAAATCTTCTTCTCTTATTGTGAATCTTCCTAACAGAAAACCCCCTCTGAATTACATAATCTTGAAACACCTTCCTAAAGTGATCAACTCCCTCAAACACTTGACCAACTTTGAAGTGGATTTTCCCATTATCCCCATATGCAAACTGTTGACCTTTCATGTGCTTGCTAAACCTAGTTATTGCATCTTCATCATCAGTAGATCCTTCATATGAACTATCCTCATGGTGTTCAGATATTTCCCCTTGAACTTCAATGTCCTCTACCCCACCACTACCTTGCCCAGTTTGATTTCCCTCAACCCCACCACTTCCCTGCCCAATTTCAATTCCCTCTACCACCCCACTTTCTTGTCCAGTTTCTATTCCTTCAACCGCCCCACTTCCCGGTATATCCTTCCCACTCTTATGGTTTTCTTCATGATCACTTTCAACACTCCAATATCTGGAATACCTTCTTCAGCTTCCTCATTATCCTGCCTCACAAAACCCTCATTATCCTCTGGTTGGGCTTCTAATAAAGTTATCGGTTCAATAAAGTCCATTGGTATGGCTTCTACATAGACCCTTATCACTCGCTTGCCAAAACTCTTATATTGCTCAAATATGAATTCCATATCATCATCCCCTTCCACTATGTATCCAGCCCCTGACAAGGGTAGCTCAACCTCTACCTTAAACTTCTCATAAGGGTTCATTTCGACAACCTCATTCTCCAAAGCCACACATCGTTTCACATCTTCAATAAAACATATGTAACTATACTCATCCGGATCAACATTTAGTATATCATATTATAAACTAAGCACTTCAACTTTAAAGTCATCGGAATTTGGTTTCAGCCTACATACACAAACACAACCAAGCAATTATAAACAAAAAATCAACTGCCACCACCCAAGGTACGTGACATTGTTACACCAGATGTTGTCAAACATTGCTAGGCAGCATTTAAGATAGTTACTGGTTTCCAGCAAATATACCAAAAATCACCCTAACGCCGCCATCAACTCTACCACCACTGTACCACCATGCACATACCACCACCAATACTAACATTGCCATGCAACACAAATATCCTAAACCCCTATTACACCAAAACTTTAACCCTAATCCTAAAGCCTCCTACTATCACCATACCGCCACCAGACCACCACCTTAGGTACGTGGCATTGTTACACTAGAAGTTGTCAACCACTGCTAGACAATATTTAAGACGATTACTGTTTTCCAACCAATATATCGAAAGTCACCCTAACACCACTGTCAATTGTACCACCACTATACCACCATTATATCACCATATACATACCACTACCAATACTAACACTGCCATGCAACACCAATATCCTAAACCACCACTACACCAAAACCATAACCCTAATCCTAAAGCCCCCTACTACCACCATCACCATCCTACCACCATCCAACAAACACCCTAATGCCATCAT